GGATAGTGTTGGTGAGTATGGGTGTTTAGTGTGGCTATGACGTTAGGTGAGAGTGGTTGTGACGCAAGTGTTAGGTGAGGGCGTGGGTGTGGCACTAGGGCGTGGTGGATAATGTAGGGCTAGGGACGAGATGTTTGAGTACGAGGAATGATGAGGGTGCATAAAGGTCAAGGGTCTGTGAAGGGATCGGTATGGGCAAGGGTGGTTAGCAGAGGTCAGAGTTAGAGGCTGGTATCGGTGCTTGTGTAGGTGTGCACAGGTGTGGTGCTAGTGAGGGAGCAAATATGGCACTTAGGCTTGGGGGTTGGTATTAGGGCTAAGGCTAGGTGAGCTAGGGGTTGGTGTGGCTATGGTGTTAGGGTATGAAGGCTAGGTACTGGAGGCTACGGACTGTACTAGTTGGGCGAGTGCTAAGGTTGAAGCTGGGGTTGAAACTAGTGTTGGCAATGGTAGGTTTTTTAGTTGAATTTGGCTTTTAGTGGATATTGGGTATCTGTGTTTAGTTTTTGGGTTTTTTTTTTGGTTTGCCACTAATGTTCCCCCCTTTTCAAAATTGGTGTCCTCTTCTCAGTATAAATTCATTTAGGATTTTATTGAAAATCCCAAATCTTTTCCCCTCTCTCCTATGCCTCTATTTTGGAATTAATTCCTCTTAAAAGAGTAGTTAGTAATCTTGGATTATTTTCACAGCACTGGTTCACTGCATTTTAGAGCATTGTTCATTTACCAATTGGTGTTATAGATAATTTAGGTAAAATCAAATAGGTAAACTTTGAGAGTTGAAATTGATGAGGTAATTTAGGGAGAGTGAAATTGTGATCTAGGGGTGGCGAAAAGTAAGGGTAGGCTACTATCATGGTAGCCGCCCCTTAAATACACATTTTTTTAAAACTCTTAACCTTAGTTAATCTCTTAATTGTTTAATTGTATTTTTTTTTTTAATTATTGTATTTGTTTTAATTTGGTCCCAAATTAATCAAAATTGAATATGGGATTTGAGGCAGAATTTGGATAAATTTTGGGCTTTAATACAAAACTCTGGCTTTAACATGAAATTCAGGCTTTAATATGAAATTTAGGCCTCAACAATTAACCTGATAATGAAATTGGACCAATCTTAAACCTACACGAAATATTTTCGAGATTGTAAATGAATTTAGTCCTAATTTTTAAATCGATCTAATTCGTGCCCAAACTCCAAAATCAATCACGATCGGGTTATTCCAAACAAAATGGTGTCTACAAATAGAATAGTGGTAAAACAAATTAGTGATAAAGCTGCGGCCAATGAGTGATTCTCAATTTTACACTAGAAAGGTGAATTCTAAACCTAGAAAGAAATAGATCAAACTCCATTATGTATTAACCAGATAATTTTTCTTAACTTAGTACCAAAGAAATTAATTTGATTCAAAGCAGAAAGTGTTAAATTGCAGCCAATAAAATTGGATTCAACACAGCAGCCATATCAACTTTATATCTCAATTTGATTTTAAAGATTAATTTCTAGTATAATTAAACAAAGTTTTCAACACAGTTTAAGATAAAGAGATAGGTTCTCTACCTGATTTTAGGGAGTTTAACTTTAAACCCGAATCAAGGAGCATCCTTTTCTTTTTACCTTTTCTTTCAATGAAATGTCTCTTCTACCCAAATAAGAGGAGTTTAACTCAATACTTTCTTTTAAAGAATCTAGTTTTTTACTCGATGGGATCAGAACTATTCCAACACCTTTTTCTTATTACTAAGATTGAAAATATGTTAACAAATCTGAAAGTGCTTGAGACTTGATAACTTCGATTGAATAACTAATATATCATATTCGCTAAAAAAAAGAAAGATCATTATAGTTAGCATGAATAGTTGCATTCACATGCCCTTGAGGATTATGATGAGTTAGAAATGGATTATTTTGAATTTCATTGATTCTAATAAACATTTTTATTGTTTGTATCTTTCGATGGAATATTCTATGAAGATTTTTACTTTCAGCAAGTGAATGACTAACCGTTCGATGATAGTCATAATACCTTAGGTTAGACTTTTCTTTTGCTATTGGTGGTTGTGAAACATAAGGTAGATTCACATTTTCATTTTTAATCCATTCTTGAAATAGTGCTTTCACTCTATCCATTAGAACTGAAAATAGTGGAGAGTTAGTATCATCATCTTGTCTTATTTTTTGATTATCTCTTTTAGGACACATATTAGGATGAAAAGGTCCTCTTTTTTTTCTTGCTCTTCCTTAAATTGTATTCATTGTAAAAGCATTCCTCCTAATGAAATGATTGGCTCCTCATTGCTTAAAAGTTGTATTATTGGTTCTTCTTGCAACTTCAACTATAATAACGAAGGTTGAAAAAGATAAATTCTCCAAATACACTATGTACTCATCAAACATTTCTTGTATACATACTTTTACCAGTTTTTTCTTATCATGAGAATCTTGAATGTCCAACACTCTTTCCTTGAAGCATTGGATGTATTCTATAAGAACTTCCCGTGACTTTTGGTGTTCTTTTTCCAAGTCAATCAAAGTAACTTTTTCTTAGGTAAAGAAAAACTTTTCTCTAAACATTCTACACATCTGATTCCATGATTCAATAGAGCCAAGTGTAAGCTTTTTCTATAAAAGACTTAGAGAATCCTTCAACTTCAAATTATCATCCAATCCAGTTACTCCAAGAGTTTTTATAAATTTTATTACATGCTCATGAGTATCTTCAGTCTTGCCATTGAATTGCTTAAACTTAGGACTAGTATAGTCCTTGGGATATGGTTTAACAACCATTCTAGCAAAATATGGTATTTTAAAATCAAATTCAAAAAAGTTCAATCTTTTGTTCTTTTCCTCAAGCAACTTCTGAAGTTATTCTTTCGTGATAAAACCCTGAGTTGTGGTTGGAGGAAAAATCATAGTTGGAGTACCAACAACTAAGGTGTTGTTTACACTAAGATTTTCATTAACACCAAGATTTGGCTTATTTGTAATGTTTTCTTCAGTGCCATTCGCTAGAAAGATAGAAGTATTTCTATTCCCATTAGTAGTAGTTTAGGCTTAAGAGGTTGTGGCATTGGAAGATATGAGTTGGGAGATAGTCTCTTCTAACTTTTGCAACTTCTTTTAGGAATTTTAAATCATTTTCATCAATTTTTGGATGTAGGCAGGGGTCTGAACATTTTGGTTTCCAATAGAATCCTCTATTTTTTTCTGCAAAGTAAAATTAGAAATTGTTTTGTTTAATGCAATCACTCATCCTTAGTGGAGTCACCAAAATATTAACAGGTTTTTTGTTGAAGTGAGGAAACATTGCAAACAAGTAAAATAAGATGTACCAGGAAATGATAAAAAAGAAGATTGGAGCAGATCTTGAAATATTGAATGCAGTGGCAGGTGGTGGTAGGTGGTGAAGTAAGGCTGAGTAAATAAGAGAATGAGATTGAGAAAAAGATTTAGGAAGAGAGAATTACAAAAAAAATTGAGTAAGTTTGGCCAAAGTCTCAAAAAGCCCCTTAATGAACTTTGGAAACTCCTATTTATAGTTCTTCAATAATATAAGTTACATAACTAGAGTATCGAATAAGAATAATGATGCATAATGAGATAATTGACCATTAGAAAATGTATTAATGTATTGATTAATAGGAGTTTAATTAGCTTTTAATAATAAGTATAGTAAACATAGAAGTTCACTATCTCTTTTGAAAGAAAAGAAAAAGCACTAATATTTCAAGAAAAGGTTAAGAGAAAACCTCATAACTATCTTTATATCTGATCCACCAAGCCAAACTCTCTGGAACATCCCAATAGTGAAATTAACCTAAAAACCATGCCATATCCCTAGGTTATTTTCACTTCTTCTTTAAATGAAGTAACATTCGGTGAAGTGTTTTTTGTGGAATAACTCTTAGTGTAGTAACTTGTGTTTCAAGAGTTTTCAGTAAAAGTGTTGCTTTGTTCCTTGAGGAAGTTGTTTCAAGAATAGTTGTTTTATGAAGAAGTTATTCCTTGAATAGTTGTTTCATAAAATAACCTTCATTGAAATAATTTTATCACATGTTCTGTAAAATAATTTTCACTGAAACAGTCTTAACACATATTCTAACTTATTCTCAATTTTAACAACTTTAAAAAAGTTTAAAAGAATAAAATATTAGTAACTAAAATCAACTATCTATAATTGTTAACTTGCAACATTTCCTTGTTGTTTTCAACCAATGGAGCATCTTCCAAGTTTTTGGATCAACTGCAAATTATGACACCATGTCACAACAAGAGTACTTTACTCTAGGCAAAAAAAAAAAGGCAAAAGCTTAAAAAAATAATAATAAAAGTCCCTGAACTAAAATTCAATAATCATTTAAGACTTTATCATTTTTTTCAACCAATTAAACCCTCAAAACTCTATTTTTATCAATTAAACCCTTATTAGAGGAAAAATGTTTAATTGTTTCTATCCAATTGAGGGCTTAATTAAGTAAAAATAGATGTTTAGGGGTTTAATTGGGTGAAAATAAATATTTATGGATTCAACTTATTCGAAATAAAAGATTTAAGCTGGATTGATTTCAATAACATGTTAAAGGACTTAAATGATTATTAAATTTTTGTTTTAGGACCTTTTTATCCTTTCGCCAAAAAATTATTTTGCTAAAAATCTATTTCTACCATCTAAACTTGGACATTGTATATCATTGTATGTCACTTTGCTGAGCTTCAAGTAGAATTGTAAGAATTCACAAGTAGACGATCGCTTGCTTTAAATTACAACTGCTTTTGATATTGAAAAACCAGAAAGAAAATATGCAGATGCCTTGAAAAGGAATAACGAAAGATTACTTGCCTCCCATACTCAGTTTATGTTTGATTCTTTGCCTTTACAAGAATCCTCCTACATTAGTTCCCTTGAAGTCATCCTCTTTCGCATATTACCTAGCATCATCAACTCCTCTTATTTCCCTTTGCTCTACTTCATTTCTGGCCATATTTTCGATACAGAATGGCTTATCAGCATGTTGAAACCAACCCACATTTTATCGATCCTGAAGAAAAAACACCAGATCAACGTCATTATCTACCTGCTGCCTTGTTGCCACGACGTGGTCCTGACCAGCGTATCCCTTCACATCGTCCTCAAGACCAACGTCCTCAGCCAAGACATTATGGGGACGAAGGTCCCCAGCCGCTTGGTCCGTCTCCTCCAGAACCACATCATGAAGGCCAACCTTACCCGCCACTACATGTATGGGTGCCCCCAGTACATCATGAAGACCAAAGCCCTCAATCACAACCACAAAATAGCCAAGGTCAACAGCGGCAGCCACTTGAAATGTCGACGCCACCCTCATCGATTCAAGGTCTAACCCCCAAAACACAGAAACGTCAAGGCCGGTCAGGCAAGAAAGTGAAGATGCCACCACAGCTTCAAGACCAACATCCTAGCGCTCAATTGATAAGACCACTGGGTGAAGTCACCGAACACCAGCCTAGTCCAGGGGTAATAACACCACAGCCCGAGGGCAAGCATCCCCATGAGCAACGCCCACGCACTAATCTTTTTCTCCCACGAGACCGTCCAACCAAACCTCTAACATGGTTTGCAGCAGCTTTCTGTATAATTTTTTGGCTCGTCATAATAATAGGAGGCTTAATCGTTCTCATAGTCTATCTCGTCTTTCGACCACGCAGTCCACATTTTGATGTCAATAGCGTCAGCTTGAATGCAGCCTATCTGGACATGCGTTACTTGCTCAATGCTGATCTTAGTGTGCTTGCGAACTTCACAAATCCAAACATGAAGGTGAGCGTGGATTTCAGTTACATGTACCTTGATCTTTACTTTGAGAATAGTATGATTGCTACCCAATACATAGAACCTTTCTCAGCGGCAAGAGGTCTGTCAATGATTGCAAATATTCACATGGTAACCAGTCAGGTTAGGCTTTCATTGAAAGAAACTCTGCTGCTACAAAAGCAGATTGAGAACAACCGAGTCATGTTTACAGTCAAGGGGAAGTTTCGAGCCCGATACAATCTCGGTGGTTTCTTGAAATATTCGTATTGGTTGCACGGTCATTGTAGCCTGATGGTGTCCAGCCCTCCAAATGGGGTCTTGAGAGCTAAAAGATGCAATACGAAACACTGATAAGGAATCCATTGTAATTATTTGTTCTATTTTACTAGAGATTCAATACTCATTATAATAACATCAGAAATTAATTTTGCTCTTTCTTGAAATAAAACCACTTTGAAGAAACCATTTGATATCTGTCAAAACTGATTTTGCAAGTGTAAGAAGAAATCATCACCATAGCTCCAGCTCTTTTTCTTACTCATCCACATTTCTTTTTGAATTCCATTGTCCATCTCTGTAGAATTAAGACAGGACAGCCTTCTGAATTCTGATTCGTGGACCAAAGCCAATAGATTAGTAAGTGCAAACCTTCTAATTCATTGAGAAAAACTTCTACATCACATTTCCAGGATAAAGGAATCAGAGGAGAAAAAACAATAGCTAATTTACAAAAAATAAAATAAAATAAACTACAGAAACCCCAGAATCCTGGTCGGCCTTTCATATTAAAAGAGTCAAAACAGAATTCATCACCAACCACTAACCCCTCATGCCTAAGCCAGGATCAATATGTAAAACTTGAGCAAGCAATATCAGAACCAGAGTATTGAAATAGAAAGAAAAGAAATAACTGAGAATCCCTGGCAATGATCTTCGGTGAAAAAGGGATGCCTGAGAGCTTAACGAGCAGTTAATCGACTCCAAGGATCAAATCTAGAAGAGCTTGCAAAAGGTCAATCAGAACCTCTGCAGAGTGGTCTACATGCGGCATCACTAGATTCTGGCAGAAGAAAATAATGAATCAGAATGATGATAGCATGCATACAGGTTCATAATAATTATCACAAGCATTTCTGATTACAGCATGCAACTGCGTAACAGCTTCAATGCTTTCGCTAGAGGTAGCACGCTCTGGCCAATCCAGTCACATGCCGGCTGGACAAAAAAAATCAACCATGAAAACAATATAACAAAAGATTTGCAACACTATGAGAGTAGGAAAAAAAAGGCAAAAGAAAGTGAACCTTCACCTAATAAGAATTTTGAGACAATAAAATGGAAAATGAAAAATGATTCAAGGATTTGACTTTGCATCTACACCCATAAGTCCGGCCTATTTTGAATTAGAGTAGGGCTTTAAAGTTTTAAGCCCGAATCAAGTTCGGCCCAAAATTATTATGTATTATGTTAGTATTAAATAAATTAATAAATACTATTTATAAATCCAAATTCATTTTGATATGTCAAAAGTGTTAAAATGTCAATATAAAGTTTTTTTAATTTGTTATTAATTAATAAAATATGAGCTCATAGATGGGTCTAAACTAGTGTATGATCAAATTAAATTGAATCAATACAGTGAAATTCAAATTTAAGTTTTACTCAAAATTTATTATTCAAAACTTGGATCGAGTTTGATCAAATTTTAAATTTTAAATTTAAACTCAACTCGAGATAAAAATTAAGTTACTTGAATTCAAAATTGAATTGATATATATATATATATAAGAATAAAATAATAATTTTTAATTAAAATAATGAAAAATATATTAAAATCTAAAAACTTGATTAAGTTCATAAATTATTTGAATCGGATATTAAGATACTTAAACTCAACTTACTTAATAAATTAAATTGTTCGAACTTAAACTTAATTCGATAATAATCAAATTAAATTTAAATAATTTATGAGAATTGATGTATCATTTACATTATTAATCCAAACTTAAGCTTTATTTAGTAGTGCAATGAAAAAAAATTTTCATAAAAAAGAAAATATGTGAATCTTTATATTTTATGATTAATTTTAATACATAATCGAAATAAAATTCAAAACACTTTCTTAAGTCCCTCACACCAAACTTGTGTAATAATGCTTGACAAAAACCATGGAGGCATAGACCTCACAATTGTGGAGAGACCCTGTTCCAATTTTCATCCCTTTTTCTTTTGTATTTTTTTTCATTTTCAACTCAATCCTTCATAGAGTTGGCATTGTGACGGGTAGGTCGGATTTTTGCTTTTTCCGCCTCCGACTCGAAATCTTAATACTTTTATTTAATACCCGACTCATCCCCGCTCAAAAGTTCTAATGGTAAAACCCAATTCCAACCCGTTAAGAATATTATTTACTTCAATTCAACCCGACCCGATCCGAATTTCAAACCATTCATCAAGTAGATTAAAAAATCAGCCTGGCCCTGGAGCATGTCCAAAATGTCTGGTTACAAGTGAATTGTATAATAAAAGAGCAGCATCTCTTTGTGATCCGGAGATGTTATGAATCGATCGAGATGGGACAAAAGAAAGGCGAGATTAAAGAAAGAACATGGGCGATTGCAAAAGATATGACTGACTGAAGAAATATTCTTATTAACGGCCAAAGCAAAATGCTAAACTCCGCTCACCCGGATAGGGATTCAGACAGCTGGAGAAGACAAAACCACAGCTTCTATTGCTGAAGAATGGGAGCGACTGGTTGTCAGTGAAATTCCCGTGAAATATTCTCCCACTTGTACACCCAAACCCAAGTCAGATCAATCAGTTCTACTTCTATCCCCACTAGACAACAGCAGGCAGCTAGATAGAAAATGCTACAAGGATACTACAGAGGTTGGAGGTGCCAAGACAGTTACAATCAAAAGCAGCACTCTCTCCCAGCTTTATCAGTAGCAAAATCCCAAATGCAGGAGAGTTAGACAAGGAGGCCGAAAAAAAGGAGATCGGGGGAGTTAGTCAAGGAGGCTGAAAAAAAAAGAGAAATCCTAAAAAAAAATTATATATATATATATATAAATGATATTTTGATAAATATTTCGGGGTAAGTTTACGTAAAACCGGATTCCAACCCAAATTCGACATTCAAAAAAATAAAAATGATCTTGACCCGAAATTCATTTTTTAAAAATAAAAATCCGATTCTGAATGATCGGGTCGGAACCCGACGGTTTCAGGTTAATTTACCGTCCCTAGTCCTTCATTTAATTAACTTTCGAGGAAATGAAACGAAAATCCTTTTCCTACGCAAAACATGTCATCAGTAAAAATTGGAAACTGCTCTTGCTTTTCTCAAAATATGGATTTCTCATGCGTAAAGTGTTAAATAAGTAAGCTGCAATATTAAACAAAGTGAAAACTCAGTTTGGGCTGTATTTTTCTAGGAATTCTGAGCCATGACAGTCTAGCTTTCATCCGGATTGAATTTTAAAAAGAGAAAGGATAACGTCACAGGCTAGCAATCGTAGAGCAAACGTCAGTCTTTCTTTATTTTCCCCAGATTGTTCATTTCCACAGCTACTTCTTTCTTTCTCTCCGTTTTTCTGCACTAAATGACACCTAATTTTTGCCTTTTTCTGCATACATTTGTGCAATGCCAATCAAATGAGAAAGCTGCTTGCCGCATTCTTCAATTTCGTCCTAGTTAAAAAAAACTTCACCTCATTTCCATTTATATCTGCCACACCCACATGCTGCCTTTGCTGGACGGTTTCTGTATTGCCAAATAAACTATGCACCGCTTGAAAATGGTTTATATTAAAGTCAAGTCAGATTAAATTTTTGTACAACTAATATCCTTATCTCTTGCACGTATAATTAATTACTCTAATTATTCATTATACTTTTGCTTGTTTAGATAATTGATTAGGAACTTTAACCTAACGCAAAATGCTGCAATCATCGACAAAGAATCCATTTGAAAGCGTGTTAAAATTGCATTTGTTTGATTGGGCCTCTTAAAAGATTGCATTAGAAATTACTTTTTTCTATATTTTATTCCAAAACTATAAACATAAAATTTTTTTAGTTAATCCTCATTCTTAGGAAAAAAAAAAAAGGTGGCCCGCACATAATTTAAATATTCATATATTAGAAATTTCAACCAAAAAAAACAGAGAGAGAGAGAGAATGAGATGAAAGTTACGTCATTTTCTTATCTATAAATAGAGTTGCGGGATGGGCAAGGCAAATTAAATGCCTTCTTTTATAGGAAAACAATCCAAGCTAAATGACTCCAATTTTCATCAAACAATATTCAGACCTTACAAATCCATTGCCCGTTATCGTTTTGGATACCAACTTAGACTTAGCAAATTTGATACTTTTGCCAAGAATACGAAATGCATGATTGACAAATTAATAGCCTTTGCTTAATCTTTTCAATAATAACGAGTGCCAGAAGAAGGAAAAGCAGATATTTTGAAACTTCCAGCATTAATTTTGGGAAATTTCCCATCTAGATAAATATATTTGTCTTCTAAACTTTATAATGTACTAAATTATTTGTGATCAATTGAGTATTAGGTTCCGTTTGTTTCGTAAAATTTGATTTTTATAAAATATTTTTTAAAAAATATTTATTTTTTTGAAAAAATAAAAAATTTATGTTATTTGGATGAATTAATGAAAATTATTTTTTATTTTTTGGTTGTTTTCTGAAAAATATGATTCTTTTTTTAAATGATATTAATATAATTATTAAAATATTAAAAATTATTTATTATTTAAGTATATTGAAATTATTTATTATTAAAATGATTAATATTCAAGAATAATTATATTTTAATTATATGTAATATTAAAATATTATATTAATATAAAAATACTTAAAATAAAACTATTTATTATTTTTATATTAATATTTTAAAATATTTAAAATAGTATTACTGTTCTTAAATTATTATTTTTATTAATATTAAAATAGTAACATTTATTATTAAAATATTTATTCTATTAAAATATTTATATTTTATATTGAAAGTATCAATTATTAAATCATAAAAAAAATTATTTATATTTATTATTAAAATATTAATATAAATACCTTAATAAATAAATAACAAAAAATTATTTATATTTTTTAACTTAAAATAATAAGAAATTATTAAAAATTCATATTAAGAAAATAATAATATTATATTATTTAATATTAATTATCAAAATAATAAAATATTATATATGTTATTATTTATTATTAAAATAATAAAATACTATTTATTATTGAAATATTAAAAATATTTATATTTAATAATATACAAGATTAAATAAAGCTAATTTTTAATTTAATTAAAATTAAATAAAATATTTTTGTTAATATAATAATATTTGAAGTCAAATCAAATTAAGTTTGAGTTTAAAATATTATGTTTAAAATCTTACTTGAGTAGAATTATGAATTATTTAAAATTAAAATATTAAAAGACTTTTAATATTAATATTTTAATTTTTTAAAATTAAATAAAAATCTAATTTATTAATATA